GCCTTGAAATGCAGCTGCGACGGCAGCCGCTGCTGGTCCTCTGGATCGACGTCGGTCAGCAGGTTGTCCCGCAGATTGCGGCTGCTTACTGTCTCCCGGGGGTGAGATCATCTGGGCTCTTCCTTTTCTTCCTTTCAGGTCTGAACTGATCAGGACCAAGCGATGGACTCGATGAATCCGAAGATGGAGGAACATCGACAGGCGCCTCTGGCTTCGGCTTGGGAGCTGCCTTAGCCGCGGCCCCTGGCCCATGTCGCGCGGGACCCAGGTCAGGGTTCAAATCGCGACCATATGGCGTCCTGCGGGCCAGGTTCTTAATAGTGGTCTTGTGTTTTCCTGAAAGAAGGTACGTGGTGGCGCCGCGTCTTTCTGCGATGCTTGTCTTTATCCAGCCTACACCTTCAGCGCGGTGAGCAATCCGCCTATCAGGGGAGAGGCCCATCGTTTCAGTAACAGCGTACATGGGATCAATCGGAGTATTCGGCCATCTCATCATGTTCATCTTCATCAGCTTCTTGTTGATCATCTTCTTCTTCTGATTTGTGATCAGCGGGTTTCCCTGCGCGCCAACCGCGATTGAACTGCGCCAAACGATGAAGATGTGACGAGTTCTTCCATGTGAGGCTTGTTCGGGCCACGTCATCAGCTGTGGCGCGGTCGCAGTCGCTTTTCGACAGCTGCTCCTCATATGGCGTTGCATTTTGGGGCCAGCGCAGTGACCCCGACCATCACCGCGAGACCAAACCCACGGTGTCTTTTTAAAGTTCGGGCTTCTTGATGGGCGTCTCATGGGGCAGCCGAGCCTGCGGTCAGCATATTCGGGGCATGAGCAACAGACGTTTCTGTAGAGCTTCCGCTCCTCGATAATTGCCCTCTTGAGGCTGCGCGGGACCATGTTATCTTGCGATCTAAACAGGTCCTGTCCTTGTCGAGCGTATGATCTTGCCTTTTGTTCATTTCGTTGAAAATTGCGGAGAGAATACCGGTGCCGGACCTGGTGCCCGGTCCAACCCTGAGCCAACTAGTATCTCATTTTTCTGGGGATACGTGCTGACGAGCCAATCCAGCTCCTGCGTAGCCAACAAGGCGCTGGATTCTGCCCTCTGGGCATTCTTCTCGCGGCTGATCACCCTGAGGCGGGCGCCCCCGCAAGCGCCCCCTCCTCGGGGGGGCGACAGGTCCATTGGCCCGCCGTGGCGGGGCCTCTGGAGTTCCCGCATCGGGAGGATGAGAGCGATGAAGACCGCTAGAGCGAGCGCCACTGGAGCGGGCACGCGTACGATCAGATGAGCGACTGGGGATCCGACCGCGACGTATCATGCGGTCGTTATCTTCCCATTCTTCGTCCTCGTCGTAGTCGCGATACTTCTTCCTCCAGAACTGGCGGCTTGCCGATCGCTTCTGGCGGCTCATGGGCCGATCTGAAGCAACAGAAGATATTGAAATTCTTCGTTATGACCAAGCTCATATTGAATGCGCTCAGATAGATCACCAGCGCCACGCGGGTTTCCCCGCAGAGGATCACCACCACTTAATTCCATATACGTCGGATTTCCAATCGCCCGAGGATAGAGCATCGACTGCGTGTCCTCGTCTGTCGCAGGAATGGTAACTTCTGAATCCGCGGGCGCCCCCGCCATGTCAGCATCTCCTTCGGCGGGCATGCGGAAGTTCTCGACGAACTCAATATCTGCAGGTTCCCCCGCGATGGGCATGCCCAGCCATTCTGCCAAATCGACGTCGCTGTGGCCAGCGAACACCTCCTCGAACAGCTCGTCGGCGCAATTCTCGAGGGCCATACTGGCGCTGAGATATCTGGCAGCCATGAAATCAACAACTGTGGCTGAGCCATCGGCAGGGTCAGCTAAAAGAGACTCCCAATCAACATACTGCATGTCGGAATCTGTTCGAGCCAGATGTATTGACGGACCCCTGCCTCTTCTATCACCCCGAGGGCATTCGCGTCGGAAAAGGCTGTGTACTGTGGCATATGTCGCACTCCATAGTCCGACCATTGGCATCCTTCGGGTTTCCCCGTCGCCCTTTGCCTTCGCCTGATGCATGCCTGCGGTTCCTGCCAGCACCTAAGAACATTTCTTCACACTGAGGTCCAGTAAGAGATGCTAGGACTGCTAGTATGCCTTTACCATGCAATCGCCGACGCTTACCTTCACCTGCACTTCGACCTCTGCCTTTTCCCTTTAAGTGATCGTCGTGCGATACGCCTTGCCTGTCGGACCGGTTTCTTCGTGAATCGCCGCCAGCGACGCCTGAGTTTTTGATGGACCGAAAATAACCATTGCGCTTGTTGTTCTTCAGTAAGGTACGTAGGCATATCAGAGTAATCAAGGGCTGTAGCTTCGTCTTTTGAAGACGCATCGGCATCAATACCGGAATCGAAGTCGGACTCGGCGGGTTGCCCCGCTGAGCCCATTAAAACCATGGCTTGCACGGGGGAAACCGCGTCGGGCGGTCCCCGAAGCCTGGCTCAGGAGTCTTGGGACCCCGAGGCCGTTCCACCATTCTGAGCCAACAGTGTAGTGGTCTCAGTTGGTTGCGGATCATCATTCCGAACGTTGTTGGCAGGCTGCCCTGCGTTAGCCTCCACGTGGAAGGTCTCGGTTCGGTGACCGCGACTGAAGATGCCACCAATACTGCCGGGGGTTCTCTCAGCAATGTGAGCATATGACCTCATACGTTCAAGTAGAGCGTCAAATTGTTGTTGGTATATCAGCATGTAGTGGATTAGAGGCTGCAGGAGATGTTGTGGACGCGATGTCCCCGCTCCAAGAGCTCTGAGTATAATTGCGGTTCGGCTCTGGAAGTTGGGGACGTTGAAGCCGGCTGCTTCAGCTTCATAGCGGGCTATCTCAAACCGTGCTAACGTCTAGTCGACGCGTTCTCCCGCATGGATTCGGAAATCAATGAGAGCCGTACCAGAGTTGAGTTGGCGCTCCTCTTCTAAGTTCTCGAACTTCGTGCTTAAGAGGAACCTGATGTAGGTAACGCCGTCAGTACGGCGGCCACCTATGTTGACGCCAAAGTTGATAACTGCTGGAAGGACTCTCATGGCTATGGTCCGTGCGAGACCTCCCAACCCTCGCTGCAGAGCTGCAGCCTGCTGGGAGGGCGTCATATTACCTGTGGTCACGTTGATCCAAGCATGTACTTCGCGGATGAATTCGCGAACAGGTACTTGACCGGCTGGGTCCCAACGAGGGCCGGTCGTTATTTTGCCGTCTCCGCCACGCATATGGCCCACCGCACACCCGATAGCGACCCATGTGAGCCCAAAGATAGCAACGCCAATCCAATGGCCTCGTAAGTCGTAGTCGGATGTACTTGTTTGGGACTTCCGCTGGGTAGTCGTAGGTCTGCGTGGGGTTGGAGGCGGCAGTATTTCATATCGCATGCTTCCATGAATTATATATTCGAAGGAATTCCCCATTGGAGTAAGCGTGTGGACATCAGGAGTGTATAAGCGCAGGGATGTAGGATGTAAGCAGGAGGCCTCCGCTTGAGCAGAGGTATCGCTGCAAGCGTCCTTGCGGTATTGCGTAGCTATATACATTCCTCCGCGCAAACCCTCTGCACCCTGATGTTCCACCATGTCCGTAGTCCACCAGATAGTGCCGTGGATGGTGAGGAGGAGTAGAGCTAGAGCTGACCACCATAGGCCAGCTCCGCTACCAAGTTTGAACGGAGCTGGGAGGCCCAGCCAGCAGCTTCGCCTTAGGCGAAGCCAAGCTCCCGCTCTGTTGTACCGTAGTAACGATAATCCCAGTAGGAGAGGATGTGCCATCTTAAGCAATAGAAAGATCCTTTTGGTCTCGATAGCGATTGTGTGCCTCGCGGTGAGGCACAGTCATATTTGGGCGGCCGGCCGCTTGAGCCGACGCGGCCGCGGGCGCACGCTCGCTTCCACTCCTTGCGTCCCTCTGCTCTCTGCTCGCTTTAGAGTAGAGGGTCTTCCGCCCCTCGGGCCCTCGACGGCGCGACGAGCGACGACGACCAGACGATCCCCGGTCCAAGACCCCCCCCACCCCGTGGTCTGGGACCCCCCCCCGCCCGGGAACCCCCGAGCGCCCAAGAGCGCCCCAAAAGCGCTCCCAGGGCCCCCAAAGGCAAGATTTGTCTGCCCCCCAGGAGCCGTAATTGAGAACGCCACCTCCTTTTTGGTCGATTGCCCCCAGGAGGGCCTCCAGAGGCCCCCCAGAGTCCAAAATGGCCCCAAGAGGGCCCCAGTAGGGCCTCACCATGGCCCCAAGACGCCTCCAAGAGGCTTCCAGAGCGTAACTGTATGCTGCCACACGTGACTCCATGAGCAACTCGCCTGGTGATTGGTTTGGAGGGGCTGGTACGGATACGCCGAGTGTTAAGAGTTGATGTCGATGATTCTTCCCCGTCTGGCCGGGAAGGGCTGGCGGGGCCTAATCAAGTCGGTTCGCGGCATCGTGTGGGCCCGGGGCTCGCTGGGAGCCCGACGGTGGGACCGTCTGGAGCGCTCTGGAAACAATGGAAGAGTTCGGCACCCGCGATGGGCAACTGACAAGTCACTTGTGCAACAAATCTGGAACCCCTTGTGTGTGCAATGTCATGCGTGCGGAAACACATGTGTAAAGAACCCCCAGCGCTTGGAATACGCATGAAAACAAGACCCATGCGTATAGAATATCATGTGTGTGGAACCTCACATGTCTGGGATCCCATGTGCGTGGAGCCCCACGAGAATGGCCTGGCAAAGACATGGAAGGGCGCGATGCATCCCTGGATAACTCGTGGTCTGGAAGCCTGTCGCGGATCCCGCGCAAACGAGCAGATCGGTCAGGCAGGCACGGGGCTGCCATGCAGCAAATTATAGCACTGCGCGAGGTCTCGCCATCGCTCGGACATCCATTCCCCGTGCATATTTTGATATCGTGCGTGTCGTGCTGCGCTCGATGATCCAAAATGTTCCTCGATGGTCCTCGCCGAGAAAAACGCACACGTCCGCGCGATGCAGGGCGAGGTGGAAAAAGTAAGGGGCAAGGTTGCCGCTGAGGGGGGGGAGAAAGAAGGCGGCCTCTTCTGACCACGGAAGCGTGTGAGCATGCAAGAACGTTCTGAATGGGCTCAGTGCCAACAAGGACCAGGTGCGCGCCAACTGTTTGCAGCACAGACGTGCTCTGCTCTCAGATGCTTGCGCCATCGCCACGAACATCGCCCTCAGCCACACATGAAGGATTGGTACCTACAAGCGTCCTCGAACCCAGAGACTGCTAGACGGGAACAGGTCCGACTGCGCGAGGGAAGCAGTGAGACAAATCATGAAAGCTGGCCCGACTGCTTGAACGCGCGCGCACACATCGCCCTCATCCACGTATAATGGACAGCAAAGGAGCGCTGAGCGACGGAGTTATGACGACACACGTCGATATGATCGCGGCATGAAGCATGAACATGGCGACAGCATGGAGGGCGCAGAAGGTGTGATTTGATCTAGGTGCCGGGATTGCCTGAGCTGAGGACAGGTCCTGTCTGTGTAGGAGATTGGACGCACTCTGCATTCCACCCTGCAATAGAGAGCGTCTGCAATCGTTATGTTGCCTCTGCTGCACGCGGCAGGGGTCTGTGAAACGAAGGAATACTGTGGTACACCCTGCAGGGCAAGTTTAAAGGGAGCACTCGGCAACGGCGGGGGCGCTGGATAAGGAATCGCTTTACAAGGAGCCTTCCTCTAAGAAGTCGGGATAAACGTGAACTTTCGAAGGTCCGCGAGGATGTGTTGGATCTGCGCTGGACCCCCTCCCTGGCGCGCTCCGCGCGCCAAGGACGGAGCTGGGGGCACCACCCGTCAGGCCTAGCGCAAATCCAAGCAATCCACGCGGACCTTCGCAAATGTATGACATGCCAGTCAGTCGTCTTCGACCCTGGTGGCACGCGCGAGGATGAGGGGCTGGTGGGGTGGTTTTCTGAGAAGCCAAAGAGCTTCTCCGAGGGGCTCCCACACGTCCAAAGAGGCCTTCTACGGAACCGACGAGGCCCCCCCCCCGCCTTCTCAGAAGGCCGGCCCCTCCTCGCCCCATGCCCTGGCAAAATCCGGCCAAAGCAGGCCCACAGCTCTGAGCGCCACATGGACAGGTCCCCCAGGGCGAATGGTGGGCACCCTGGCCGACCTGGCCACGGGCAACAGAAGATCCAGGGCTCACCGTGTGAGGGCCTTGGACCACCTGCCTCGCCCCAGAGAGCGCGAGGAGGGGAAGGAGGAGAAGGAGGAGGACGAGGAGGAGGAGGAGGAAGCGGAGGAGCAGGAAGGGGAAGGAGGAGAGAAGGAGGACGGAGGAGGAGGAGGACGGAGGCTGAGGAGAAGGAGGAGGAGGAGGAGAAGGAGGAGGACAAGGAGGAGGAGGAGGATGAGGAGGAGGAAGGAAGAGGAGGAGGAGGAGAAGGAGGAGAAGGGGGCGGAGGAGGAGGAGGAGGAGGAGGAGGAGGGAGAGACTGATTTTAACGTTAAGCTTTTTCGAGCAGCGTGTGGATTGCATGCTGGAGCCAGGGCGATATGTCTTCAGTCAGCAGTTGGACCTACATGTTGTGCGCGCGGCACGGTGATGGTCGGATGCTCCTTGGCTACTACGCTTGTGAAAGTAATGCTAACGCTGCACACTTTATTCATTGATGTGTCGATTGCGCACCCGTCTGTATATATACGTAACGTTATTGACGACGTATCCGCGCAAAGTATCGGAACTGTCAAACTCGTGTTCGAACACGTCGGCAAAATTAGGGGCAAATTGATCGCCGGCTTCAGGCGTCTGCAACTGGCCTTGCCAGCCGGGAAACCGCTTTTACTTGCGTCCTGCACGGAGCTCACGAACATGTTTCAGAAGCGCGGCTGACCGGGTGTTGCCCAAAATTCGTGCTCGGTCCTTGGGATGCGTTGTGGTGGCTGCCCGGCGGCGTTCCACGGCCACGGCTACCTGGCGCGTCATCAGGGGCACGAGGCAGGCTAGGCGTCTGCGTAGATTGCGCAAGGCGGGCGCCCCGGTGTCTAAGGTCCACCGTGCTGGGCCTCAGGCTAGATGTCTGTGGGGATCGTCTGTCATGGGAGTGCCGCCGCGCACGTTGCACTGCCTGCGGTTGGCGGCGCCCCGCTCGCTGCACAAGACTGAAACTCCGATCGTCGAAGGATAGCCGGTGCATTTACCCCCTCCACTCTTATCATGCCCACGTTGTTTTTTCAGTGGGCGAAGGCCGTTTGGGAAGTGGTTCCGTCTTTATCGATCCTCCAGCAAATTTTTGCGGCAACCTCCGACAAGGTCAGGACCTCAAGGACGCCGTGGATTCAGGCGACGTCGCCAGCACATGTGGTTGCCCTCAGCTTTCAGTACCTCGGATGTGCCCCCCGCTCATGCCGTTTGGTACGTACGGCCTCGGAGCTGGAGTTAGACCTCCTGCAGATGCCGCCGACCCAAGTGCGCGAACTAGCGCGTCAAGCTGCTCGTGACGCCTTGGATGCTCCATCGCTGTCGTCGCGTAGCACTTATTTCTCTTGGTTGCGGCCGGTTTCCTGGAACCCTCTGCACCATATCTATATATATATATATATATATATATATATATTGGATCGCAAGCCTACTGCGGGATGGACGGAACGGCACATCCACACTCTACGAGGCTTGGTTTCGATGGAGTTCTGAACCCAGAATCGTCTCCACAGACACGAGCTGGCAGCGTCGAACTCATGCACCTTGCGCGGTGAGGAGGCTAGCACGTTGTTTCTCCATCGTTACTGAAGTGCGCCGTGGGCGCCAGACCGCAGGCATCATTGTTTCAGCCTGTGGCTGCACACGGTTCGCCCAGCGAGCCAGTCAGGGCAGGATTTGACTGAGTTCGCATGCGGGGTATTCCCAAGTCCACCAGAGTTGGCTATTAGAGCCCTCCTGTCTCATGAAGCGGTGGTGCACTGGATGAATAGGCCTAGGCCAGCCGACGGGTGGCTGTCCGGCACGTTTTTTTCAGATGGTAGCGCGTTCTTTCCCACCCTGCCGCTGCTCTGGCGCGCGGGCTGGGCGCTCGTTATGGTCGACGCTGGTGGCCGCATCATTGCTGCAGCCTACTGGCCGGTTCGCTTAGATCAGTGTCAGCAGCAGACGTCGCAGGATGCCGAGGACTCCGCGATTTACATGCTATCTTCGTGCTCTTTTGGGCCAGTGGAGGTTTATGTTGGTTGCGCTTCCACGGTTCATTCTTTGTGTAATCGTGTGTTTTCGATTTCTTCCGAGTGCACGTGCGTTCATCTTTGGCAGCGCGTGTGGCACGTTTTTGCTGATGATGATGATGATGATGATGATGATGATGATGATGATGATGATGATGATGATGATGATGATGATGATGATGATGATGATGATGATGATGATGATGATGATGATGATGATGATGATGGCACGCTGTCCGTTCACAAGACTCGGACGCACTGCACGCGCGCTGACGTTTAAGCAGGCCGCACGACGGCTTTAGAACACGATGCCAATGAGTCCGCAGATTCGTACGCCAAGATGGGTGCTAGGTATCACCCATGTAAAGCTGCTGCTGCCAGGGAGTTGGCAGGATTGCAGCTGCTGGCAGTCGAGGCGGGCCGGTGGGCAGCTCAGCAGGAAATTCTGCGAGTTGACCGTGGGTGGAAGAATGCCGATGAGCTTCCTCCTTACACCCCTCCACCTCCTAAACCCCCTGCTGACCTTGCTGGCCCAACCGCCCTCACCGTAGGTAGGTAGGGACAGGTTTTGTTTCCCGCGGTTCTCCCCCGATGGCGATCCTGAGCTTGCGGTGTTAATACCATTGCAAGATCACCGCATCAGGACAGCTTCGGTTTTCCTGGCGGGCGGGAGCCAAGTTTTGTCAGGCAGTCGCGTGGCCGTATGTACATTATGTGGCAGCTATGCCTGGGGAGGTGTACAAAATCTTGCGAAGCCCTGCAGGGACCCGATCACAGCCCTGAAGAGGCAGCGGGACCGGGCTGCTGCAGGCAAATTCCCTGGCTGGGCACCGCAATACGTGGGCTGGATAATCGGGCCCTTGACGGAGGCCACTGGACAGGACTTGGCCTGTCTCGTGGCTCGTCGGGCTCCGAGTCTCCTCCCAGGAGGCCCAAGCTGGCGAGCTCCAGGCTGAGGGTCGGTGGGGTGTCGGTGTGGGGTCGGTCGGAGCTTCTCGCCAGGACAGGGCTGGCCCAGGAGACCGCCGATGCATGGGCGGCACGTGCAGAGCGCCTCGAGGCTGCCGCTGCGAACTTGGCGGAGTCAGTTGAAAGCGGCTCGGACTCGGGTTACGGGGAGCAGCGTTCAGCCTCCCGTTCCGATCTGAAGCTGTTCTGCTTAGGGCTTTCTGGTATCATTCGACGGATTGCCTGTTTCAGCGGAACGAATCGAGCAAGAGAAAGAAAGAGGAGAAATAGAATGAACCGGGGGACGTATCAACGATGCTGCAATACACCCGTCCCAAGTCCCCTCCTCATGAGTCCCTCTAAGCCCTCCCGTTTACTACAGGGCGCGCCCTTGAAAGGCCAGCACCCCATGGACCTGCCATTCAGGCGGGAGCCCTGTTTGAACATGGAAATGCCTTGCATCATTCGAGAAAACCTGACCAGACAAGAACGGGAAGCGAATGCTGGAACTGTTGGCGCAGATCCTACAGCGCAGGCAAAGGCAACAGAAGAACGCCTGGGCGAAACAAAAGAATCGACTCGGTGAACGTGCACGCAGTAGGAAGAGCAACGAGGAGTATGATGTCGCGGGGGACGGCGCCAAGAAGTAGCGTAGATGGGGTCACGACGATGACGAGGAGGACAGAAGTAAAGACGATGAGTGGGAGGAGGACGACGAGAAGTGAAGGGGTGGATGCGGGGGAGGGGGAGGAAGAGGTGAAGAAAGCTGTGTATACATATATATATATATATATAGAGAGAGAGAGGGAGCGGGAGAGAGAGGGAGAGAGAGCGAGAGAGTGAAAGAAGGGGGATGGGACGTGGATTTAGCGGGAGACGATGACATTTTCCGCCCACGGTCGGAGTTCGTCGGCGTCGGCGACGGGTGCTTCAGGCAACGTCGGGGTGGAAAGGCAAGGTGTGGACCCCGCAGAAGAGTGGACTGATTAGGGTGTTCTCGCTGTTTCGTCTTTCTCGTGCTTGAACAAGGCCGACGAGCTCCACAGCGTTGCCTCTAGACGGTCTCCGAGCTCGTCAAGAGGGTTTCCAAGCGGCCTACGAGGGCTTCTAGTGCACTTCAGAGACTCCGAGACAGCTCACGAGGCAATGTAGATAGCTCCAAAAAGAGGCTTAGACCAGGGATCCGAAAGGGCATCTCGAGCTGAGGCTTCCAGGAGGCGACAGGAGGCCTCAGGTGTGTGCGCTGAGGCGTCCAGGAAGGTCCAAGAAGTGTGGGAGGGCTTCACAGGAAGCCGCACGAGTCTCGGAGTCCAAGTAACCATGGATCGGAGCATCTGGCTGGAGGGTAGAAACCTTCGGGTTTTTCCTCATCGCCTGGGGCCTCGTCGCGATTAGCAAGAAGTCGTCGTTTTTTGGCGATTGTATTTCGCAGGTTGCAGCTGAGAAATAGATTCATAGTAATAGCGTGCGTTTACATCAATGCTGCCTGGAAGCGTAAGAAAACGGAGTGGACCGACC